CACCAAATTCACTCAAAATCCTCAACTTTATAAGATAGGGTATCCATTTTGGGTATCCATCTCGTTGCACCAAATACACTCAAAATCCTCAACTTTATAAAATAGGGTATCCATTTTTTTGGGTATCCACTCTAATGGATATCGTGACTCGTATCTTCTCGATACCCAGCCTTCGGAAATTATGACATCTCTGATTTGTACGGTTAAGACTATCTGTACCTAGTGATGAATATTGGTTGTTCCCTAATATTTCTATCGACCACTATGTGATTCAATGAATTAGAACATAAGTCATTGAACAACATTTCCCAAGAAAGAATAATCGTTATCAACAGGATTTTTCATATTAACACAGTCATTCAAGAGTGTTATCTATAGTAAAGGTTCTGATCAATTGAGCACATTTGATAACATTTTCCTTCGCGCATTGAATCAACAGAGACTCAACTAAATCCAAGAAGAAAATGTTACGTTTATGCCAATACTGTGAGAAGAGCCAGATCAAGAAGAGATACTTCGTATGAATGCATTGAATGTGATGTAGGATTGTGTCTTATGAATTGTTTTAAAGACTATCACACTCTACAAGCATTTTAATTCATGTACTTTGTGATATTTTTTGCGAAATAAACGTTAGTTTGAAATTATAAAAATTTTTATTATATAAAAATAATCCGGTACTCAAAGGGTTAAATCAATATAAATTCAATTTAAACTGGGTCTAAATAAATTTAAATTTAAAATAAATTAATAGGAAATTCCCACTCCTAATGGTACAGATATTTTCTAAAAAAGTAGAAATATGTAGTGTAGGTATCAAATTCACTCACATGCACATCCATCTATTGTCACTCGATCATCAGATTTTAAACCAGGAGCAACGCGACTACTTTTCCTGAAACTCGCCTAGTACTTATTCAATTACGGAAAGACGATGAAAATATCTTTGCCTTTTATAGTCAAGAATATTTTTCAACTAGGATCATTCTAACTGCATTTACGACTCACACTTTTCGAAATCATGTGAGTAATCTACGAGAATTTTGATGTTTGCGTTTTTTCTGTAAAAGCTTTCATTGATCACTTTAAAACCAAAGAACAAAACGATGCATCGATTAAGAATACAAAAAAGAAAAGAATGAATGACAACTTGTCAGTGACAAGTTGATCATTTTTCTAACGAACAAAAGAAAACATTAACATTAGAACATGCCAAATTTTTGATAAACAATATTTGGTATCGATTCATTCAAGACAAATTTGATTGACTCATCAATAAAATTAAAAGCAACTTATAGGAACGTTACTAATCAATGTGACTTTTTTCATTCAGTTTGACAATTTGTTTCATAGACTTAGATTATCGGAAATCGTTCGATTTCAGCAAACTCATAATGAAATTAGAAATTCTTGCTATGTGCGCACTCAAAACAACTATGCCTTTTTTCTTTCAAGTAACAGAACGACAATAGTTTTAAGTTTTATACATTGACTTTTGAAACATCGTATAATAACATGATATAATATATGCTCATCACGAGTACAACCTGAGAAAAAGAAATTATTCATGAACACCCTGTACATTGCTTAAACAGAAGCCAGAAGGTTAGAAAAATAGAAACAAAACTAAGAAAATATAAGCCAAAACATAACGAAAAAAGGTAAGAGAAGGCAGAAGAACATGAAAGTGGTAATGTATGTACAGTGCTGGGTTCTATCACAGGGCTATTTTGAGTTACTGTTTTACATTCAATGACTCGTCCATTTTGTTCATTCTTCTTTTTATAAATTGCAACCCATTTTGCTATTGTACTTTCATCTGGAACTTTATGACCACAAAAATATTTCAATTCTTGATGAATAATATGTGGATCAATATTTAATGCAGTACGTACTTCAATATAAGAATGAATATTCTTCATTTGAAACTAAAAAAAAAACAACAAAAGAAACACGAATGTTTTTATCGAGAATATGAAAGTTAATTTTAATAATGTGCAGGAAAAGATGAAAATTATCGAGATATCAAAACTATTAATTATATATAACGGGTAAGCCGAATATTTTGGAACAAGATATTTGTTTATTTTTAGCTTCCTTGAAAAAATTTGCGTTTCATCTTAAAATTTTATGGATAATTTTATTTCTAATCAATTTTCTACTTCATGTAGTAAAAAAGAAAAATTTTTCCTTGACTAATGAAACTTTAAAAATACTTACATTATTATACGTATTTACTTGCAAATTCATGTCTTGATTTCGAAAACTATCGAGATTTGCATTTTTGTACTCGATTGCTTGTCGATAAAGTTTACCAACGATAGATTGAGATTCGTATGAATTAAGTTTCATCAAAAAATCCGGATATATTGCACCATATGGTTTACGAATTTCCTTTATATGTTTTCGATCGATTACATAACCCGTTTTCGAAGAATCAACTACAATCAATCGAAATGATAACATAAGTCATTTCAAATTTCGACTATACTTACTGGCAGCTGAGAACATGGCCGCAAGTTTAACGGCATTTTTCTGACATGTACGTTGTTCACAATTTTCTAAATTTTTATCAACAACAATTGCATGTAAATTATAAATTTCACCATAACTCGTAGCACCCAATAATGAATAACAATGCTTTATAATATCGACATTAGTAATGGATCTAGAGTTGGAAGGAATATTTGCTACAAATGGTTTATAATCGAGTGGTTCAACTTTTCGAGACAATTGCAAATCTTGACCCCAATAAACCTTTTGAAACAAAAAAAAATGAATTGCTAATCATCAAAATATTCGATAAAATAACGTACAAAATATTGATCACCATCTAGATCGGACCCAGCAATTTTATTTGAATCGGGTCCTACAATTATGTTCATATTGCGATCAAGACAAAAAAAACCAAGAATGCGACTACTTACGTTCATCTTTAGTTGAAAATATGATGATATCAGTTAGACAATTAAGTTCAGGACAATCGACAGCTTCTAGTACAAGTATATCGCCGGCATAAGGACTAAAATATCGATTAAGGTTTAGTTCCTAAATTTTAGAAAATAGTATTAAACTAACCAAGGATTCTTTGTAACAATGACTCGTCCAACAACAGTTTCAAATCGAGGTTCTCTAAGTGGTTTTCCATCGTCGTCAACAATCTGATATCGAATAAAGCATTGTCCTGGTTCAAGAACAGATTCGAATGCACAACCAAACATATATCGACATTCGTTGACTGGTAATGGTAACTTATTTTTCAAAAGATGTCTACATAAAAAAGAACAAAAATCCAAAATCAGACCGGATCATTAGAAGAAGAAAAAAATCAATGTCTCTACTCGATTATATGTGGTGGTCGTTCTTTATCTTCAAACCATTTGCGTTGTAGACGAAGAAAAGTTTCGTCAGGTACACCAAGATCTGACATAATTATAATAATTTGATTGTTGAGTCTGGTCGGAACTATAATAAAACCAAATCTTCATAATACGATGAAGAATTTACAATCGATCATGAAAACTTAAGCTTCTGAAAAGTTGAAGATTGAACAAGACAATGCTACCGTTCCGCGACGAACATCACTGCTACTCAGTGATGATTTGGAAGGTAATCTTTTATAGCATTTAGGACAAGAAAAAATAACTTGAATAAATCGATTGGAAATAGAAGAATAAGTCAAAATGACACTCTGTCTTATCGGAAATTTTCATTTCAATAAGTAGTGTAAATCAATCGATTTAGCTATTACATAAGTCGGTTTTGAAAAATTTCTTCAACTAATGCAATCTAGAAATCCATGTTTGACTTCTAACAGTTCAAAGTAGTATTCCAAACAATATTTTCGTAGTGAAAACTATCGAGTTTATGAATGTCATTCCTCGTATAAAATAAAACTTGTCCGTTTAAATCAATCAACCATTACTATCAATAGTAACGCAATGAGTATTCGACTTATTACAAAAAAAAACATATTCTAATGAGAATGACATCAATTATTTGTGTGAATTCTTGTTCAACTCTTTGATAATGTGAAACATGTATAATTAACTATGTCTCTTAAATTGTCGACAAATGAAGAGAGTCATTCTCAAGTCAGGCCGAAGTAGTTCGAGTAGAAAATTTGACATATGTATTCTTTAAAGCAGTAAAAATTAGCAATCGACTTATTAGTGTAAGAATCCATAAGTCTAAATATTCAAAAAACTATTATTACAAAGCTTCACCGGTGTTTTGCCTACTGAACATTAATGGTGATGTGTATACATTTAGCATCGAACTCTATCCGTCTGATATTAAACTCTCATCTACACCTTCATTTTTCAGTATTGATTCGAATAATTTTTTTTCTCCTGAAATCGATGGAATTCAATCGTAGAACTCTTCATTCATAGTTTGATCTCCTGTCTACGCACTTATACATTTCCTTGCGTATTCTTCTACTTGAAGTTTAAAAAAACAAAACTATCATACTCGGTTGACTAGTTTCACAAATGTCCAAAGTCCAATCGTCTGAGTCGAACTTCTTCATTGATGGACGAATTTTGATATAAAATTGATCTAATGTAGATTGTGGTTCAATAACAACAAGACCTTTACATCCGGCCATTCGAATTTGATAAGCAGATGGATAGATATCCTAAGTTGATTAAAGAACTTTTTTTCAAAAAACGAATGATTCGAAAATACAATATATACATACTTGATTCATAGTTTTTATGCGACAACCAAGTTTTTTGGCGATAATTCTTGCTAAACCTTTTGATATAAATCCATTACCATCTGTAAAACAATAACCATTACGTTCAATATCATCAATCTTTGTAACACAATATTCACCATTTTGAACACGTCGATCAAAATCTTCAGTATAATTTAGTGTGATCTAAAAGAATGAAGACATATGTAATTATTTCGAGCATTAATTGAAAATAAAAAGATTCTTACTCCAGTTGGAATACTCTTGCTAAACCAAAGACCTAAACGTGCTACATATTTTCCAACATTAGTAATCTTACTAAAATCTCCTAATTGTTTTCGTTTTTCATCAATTTCTTCGAAAGATTCAGCTCTTACAAACCAATAACTATGTTCACGTAGTTGTGAATTAGATGCACCCAAAAAATGATAACGAATATTACATATACGAATGCCCGATTTCAACACCATCTCATAATGTCGACACTGATTAATATATTGTCCTGGTTTATCTGGTTTAAAGTATACCAGACAAAAATCATCGATATCAGTGAAAATACGATGACGTAGAGCACGATGACCTTGTATTCGTTCACGTGGCATGATTTTTATACAGGACGGAGTAACATGAACAACGTTAACATCATAATAGAGATTATCTTTTTCCTAAATCAAAATAGATATAGAATGACTTAACATGAATTAATTCAGCAATTTTTTACTTGTTTTTCTTCATCGAATATCAATAAATCATGTGTATTATATTCAAATTCATATTCATTAAAAATAGTCATTAAATCGAATGATTCATTTTTTTGAAGACCTTGATAAGCATTAAGAACCAATTTATAGAAATATTTATCATCTCGATTGGCCAAAGTAATCATCATTGTTCGAAGAGATTCATCTGTCGCATATTTATTATCAAATAGAGATCCAAGTGAATGGAGTATTTCGAGTGCATATCGAGCTCGAAATGTTTGATAAGGATCGAGAAAAGAATTCGACCACGATTGATGATTGTTTGTTTGATTGTTCATGATAGATATTCAATAGTTTGATGAAGATTAGACTTAATCGAAAAGCTAGAATCAGTTTGTGTTTAATTGGCTTTAGATATTTATAAGGAAATAAAATGGGAATCTCCATCATGATGATCAGTAGATAGTCTTTTGTAATTAAATATGGAAAAAAACCAACACGTCAGACTTTTTTTTCTCAGTGCGGGCAAAATTAATAGTTTTGCAATAACATTTTTTCCTTCTGTTCTCGTTATTACCCATTTACCAACATAACCGCATGGCACAAAAGAAAACAAATAGCATTGAAGAAGTAAGAAAAGAAAGGAAGTAACATACACCGTCTTAAAGCATTTGACGCAATTATTTTCTTGTGTTCTGTAATAGAAGACGGTAGACCACGAAACATGTTCTACATGTTCGAGCATTTTTCTGCTACAGAATATTCATTCAAAAACTTCTAGTTAAAGAAAGAAAATGATTGCGCGTAAATGAAATTTCTTGAAAAATCAACTACAATAGTATGTGTAATAAAAGTTAGTTTTGAAACCAAGCTAAAAATTTAAGCAAATCAATAGAGAATATTCTATGAAAATACTCTCATCGTGTCTCCACTCCGAATAAATAATTTTTCAGTGCATATGTTTATCATTGTTAATCATTTTCGCAATCCGTTCGAATATTGCTTGTGTTGGAAGGTTCATTTCGGTTTTATTCTTTGTTTTACACCATATTGATTTAGAACATAAGTAAACGCCAGTTGTTTGACAGAGACAATAAATCTAATACTTCCTCTTCAACTTCAAAAACCAATAGGACATTGTTCATCCATTATCAACAAATTTATCGTCATTACCGAAGGTTCCCTGTTCGAATGATTTTGAATCATTATCGAAAATTTGAAAATTCATAGGACAAATGCATTCATATATTGTTGCATCAGATCAATTTTCTTTTTCAAGTGTTTTCGATGTTGTTGCTGTCTTCAAGATTTCTTCATGTAATAATTCCTTGTACTTCTTATACATGAGATCACCAACTAAAGATGCGTCTAGTGGTACAATACATCGAGCACTTGTTCTTCCATTTATGTTTGAAATTTTCGCTTGATGATAAAGATGATCATTGAATAGCTCGAGTTTAGAACATGCTATTGCGCTTAAGAGTGTACATACATTAAAGTCGAAATATAACAGAATAAATTTTTCCAGGGTTCATTTCATAGAATCAACCCGTCGAACAAGCTAACCGTATGTCAAACCATGATAGCCGTAAACTGTTTAAAGTATTCATTCTGTTCTTTTATTGTTCAAGGACGTATACCATTGCTGTCTAGTTCAAAAACTGTTCGAAGGGAGCAACATCTGCACGTAGTTCAGAAATGGAACAGGCGTTCAAAAATACAATTTCCAGGGTGTCTTTATTGTAATGTCAGATTGTTGAATGATCAAATCAACTACTCTCAGGTTACCAAATGATGTTCCTTGATAACGTAAGGCAACATATACGCCAAAATCTTATCCTTCTATACAAATGTCTTTGAAGAAATCCTATTCATAAGCAGTTGCCCTAGAAACATTGACATTGTCACAATTTGCTCGAAAGTAAGAGAAGACCAAATCCAAAAATAATAGACATTTGATAAAGTCTGGCTAATATTAACAATTTAAGGAATATGACTGTAGGTCGAAAGTCGAACTAATCTGAATTTTTCACGACCGCGATATGTATATCAGTCTGAAATCCGTAGCGATACTGAACTGATAAATTGTCGTATGATTCCATCTGTGGATAGTAATATTTGACATAGTCAACTTTTAATAAAGTTTCATTACACATCCTCTATAAAATAATAAAACACATCGGTTCCACGTCTGATATGGGTATCCAATCTATCTACATTTTAAACAGTTTTTCAATTGATTTCAGTTTATTTACTTCCTTGAGAGAATAAACATCTATAATTTTCTAAACAATGATTACACTCTTATTTTTGCCAGACGAAATAGATAACTATGATGCACCACATAAAAATGTAATCTGTCGCACGTTGTAAGTATCCAATAATCAACAAGCTTGTTGTCGGAGCTGTTGCTACGTCTATGAGTAACTCGCAAGTTACTTTTTTTTCTTCCTTCCACCGTCAACAATAGAAAAAAAGAATAAGTCATTGAAAAGTTTGTCAGTGATGCATTATTTCAACAAGACTTGTTTTACCGTGTGCAGCAAACGCTTCAATTTTATACTCAAACTTTGCCATTGTCGTGAAGTTTTTTTCTTTTTTTGCTATGTACTACTCGTGCACATTTAAGGATAGTAATTACCATAGTATTGATAATTGTCAGTATACAACAATTATAAATAAATTTGTATATACTACTCGTTTAATTTTTTTTGGTATTTACAGTGAAAACCATATAATAATTTTTCTCGTTTTAGATTATCAAAAACACAAAAACAGATATTTATTCACGGTTGGTAAGTGGCACACATAATACAAATATTGTTCTTTTTTTATTGTTACTGAATTAAAAAAGAGTAAATATAACCTTTTGAGTTCCGGCGACGCATATATGCGTCGAAACATTTCTTATAAAAATTTGGATTTTCGCAGAAAAAGCCAGTAGTCAATGGATTAAAAGATACATCATTCGATAGAGCTTGATGAGATCTATCTGGCACGCTAGTCCTTAATTCTTTGACTTCCGACTTTTTCTACAAAAATCCAAACTTTTATAAAAAATATGTTTGGACGCATATATACGTCGCCCTGAGTTAAAGGGTTAATATTTAGATCCTTCTTGAATTCAAATTTCAATCAAACGAACTTCTTCCTATTTTGCAGCTTATCAAAACTAAGAAACCTACTCGAGCAGATAGTTTTCTAATTAATTTCAATAAAAGATGAAATTAAAAGTGATTGAACATCTCGAGAGGTTTCATCGTAAGATTTTTGTAATAAAATAATTCTATTTACTGTTCATCATATAGAGAAGAATAAGGTCTTATATAATTGAGATATATCATGATGATGATATTTTCTTGTTATAAATACTTGAAATCGCATAAAAAGTTTTTTGATAATGAGCTGAAAACAAATTTATTTTTAGTATTCCCAAATACTAAGATGATTTCAAACTTGATAACTAAAGTTCTAATCTATCTGATTCATTCTGATTCATCTCTTTTTTTTCTGTCTAGATAAACCATTATTGGTGAGTAATTGAAGAAAGAAATTCCATGGCAACTTCAGCGACCACTGATTCAATTTCCTACGAGTGAGAATAAAATAAATATCGAATTATTTAGATTTTCTCTAATATATATATATATTTGTAGAATCAAACAGTATATTAAACCGGAGAGTCTCAAACGAGAATTTGATGTTAATATTTCACGAACTAAAACCACAATTCATGTACTACAATGGAATGTTCTTGCTCAAGGTAAATCTATACAATTATACTCTCATATGTGAACTTCATATCTAATATATTTTCAGCTCTCTCATATACCAAAGGTAATTTTGTACGTGTTACTGATGACATAGTCGATTTTGATACACGTAAATGGCGTATTCTTGAACAAATTATTATTCGTCGACCAGATCTATGTGCATTGCAAGAAGTAGACATGTTTACTTGTTTTTTAGAAAATGAATTACCAAAATATGGGTAATAAAATATATAAATATTTGAAAATACTTAAAAATTTTTCTTTTAAATTAACACTTTTTTCAGTTATACATGTGTTTTTGTGCCCAAGACCAATTCGAAGTGTTATTTATTTCAAAATGATAGCAAAAATTTCAAAGGTCCCGATGGTACACTTCTGTGTTATAAAACTGATGTATTTAAGAGAATAAGTCAACATGGAGAAGACTTGCCAGATGATGGTCGACGAGAAAAACAGGTCCGTTATTTCTTTTAGAAAATTACATTTCATTGAAAGAGTTCAATAACATGAGAAACATAAAATGTTTTAAATATGCATCTTACAAAGTACATCCTTCAATCGCTTTTGAATCAAGACTATGTACACTATGTCGACTTAAATAAGCTATATAGCAAAATCTATTATTGGAAATTTCGTCAGAAGTTATTCGTATTTTTGTTCTACGTAAGGTACGCACACTTTAAGAATTATGGTAAACTCAATCGTTTTATTAACTTTCTTCGTTTCATTTGTACGTCATGTATATAATTTTGTTTTCTTTTATCTTGAACAATTGTTTTTTTGTATGTATATTTTTTTTTAGATTTTTGCTGCTCTCGATCTAGAACATAAACCTACATCGAATAAGATCGTTTTTATTGGAACTCATTTTAAATCTAAAAAAGAATTTAAAACATCACGAACATATCAGGCTCAAGCAATTGTTGAATATATACGAAAGAATTATTCAACACGACAACATGTGATTGTAGCTGGTGATTTTAATGGAGAGACTGATGAACCTTTCTATTCTGAATTTTTAAATTTTGGTTTACGAAGTGCTTATAGAACAAAAATGAATGATAAAGAACCATCATTTACTACTTGGAAATTTAAAGGACGTGATGGAACCGAACGTGAACAATGTAAAGCAATCGATTATATTTTTTATAATCCAAAAGGATTTACACCTAAGGCTATTTTACAATTTCCAAACAAATCTGATATTGGACCAAATGCACTACCGTCAATCCATTATCCATCAGATCATCTAGCACTTGAAGTTGTCTTTGACATTGAACAATGAGATGGTTTCCATTTCTTAATATTTATCATTTCATAATATTTACTTTAGCTTTTAATTCTTCTCTTGACAGAACAGGTTCAGTTACCTCTAGTGCTTTAATAACTGACTTATTTTGATGTTTTGTAATAATTATAATATCTAAAACAAATAAATACATTCTAACACAAAGAGAGCATGATCGTGGATGTAGGTAATGATGAAAGAGTACATCATTGAGTTGAATCAAATAGGTGTTGCAACTGTAAGTAGAAAAGTATTAGTATCAATGAAATAACATTACCCATTTTTGATTTGTGATATTCATCATAGATTATTTTTATTAAAAACTAGCAATTATTTCTAGGTCAAGTATTGACATTATCTATTTTGCTTCCGTTAATTTTTTTACCTGAATAAATTTTTATATAATTGACTATTAGTTGAAAATTATGCTGTAATGAATATCTTTATGAAAATTTAATTTATAGAGATACATTTCAGAAATATCTATCTATCAATAGCATTGTATTTGACTGAAATATAAAAATTTCGACATTTTGCCAATATGTAGACATGACAACAGAATTTACTTGAATGTGTCATAAATGAAAATATTTAACTGTTTTAAATCTAACTTAGTTTTAATAAGTTTGATTAATTTATTATATTTTTTGACATGCCGATGTATCTTTAATAAAAAAGGAACATGATTTTACAGATCAATGTATCATATAACTTGATGTCGCTAAAACTTATGCCAGTAAAACATTTCTACACGATTTCAAACAATGTAGTCACTTCAAAGATTATAATGGCAGCTGAAATTGAGAGTTTTTATATAAAAACCTTGTTCCCTCGACTGGAGGGAGGGTCATAAGAAAAAAATTAAAATGTGTTTGTTTCTTTGTGCACATCAAAGCTCAAAGGTCAATAAAACATCGGCATTGAAAACGTCAAGGGCTATACCATCGAGGTACCCATAGGTCCTAAAGTGCTACTATATAGAGGTGCCCATAGGCCCTCAGCGGCTGCCATATAGAGGTATCCATAGATCCTCAGGGGCTACTATATAGAGATACCCATAGGTCCCGAAGTTCTGTATTATGGAAGTACTCAAAGATCCTCCAGTCCTATATTACGGAGGTACCCATAGGTCCTCAAGTGCTTCATTATAAGGGTACGAATGGGTACTCAATTGCTGTTACGCAACTAGAAATCAGTCGAGAGGTGGCAAAGCAGTGAAGTGCTTTTCAGCGAAGAAAGTCAGCGAATACAAGACAGCGAAAAAAATGAGCGAAAGGTTTTTCAAGCTGAGGGTAAAGGTGTAAAGTGGAAGTGAGGGTGAGGGTGCAAAGTAAGCGTGGAGTGCAGAGTGCAGGTGAAGGCGAAATGTACTTTGGCTAGTATGCATTTCGCGCTTTTTTTCGTTGAAAATTTGTTCGCTTAAATGTTCTTCACTGAATGGACACCATATCGAAATCAGTTGATGTAATGTATGTAGCAGTAGCGTAAGCAAGCGAATACTGGCGAGAACCAGCCTACTGTCTCGTTGAAAGCTTGCAGTCCTATCACCTAATGAAGCTGGTGGAGATAATTTTTACTGCAAGCCATCTGAGCGTAGGAAACTTCAGAGCCAAACCCTATGATAGTTATGCTGATGGCTGCGCTAGTAGTTTGAAATATATATCTTGTAAACAAATTGTCAATCGATGGGATTCGATCGATTGGAATACTGGCGAAAACTGGCGAACAACCGAAAAGTTTTTCTATAAATCAGTTCTGAGAAACAATTTTTCTGCAGGAATAAAACATTTTCAAAGAACATTTGACAGAAAATATCATTTAACCAGTTTGTAGTAACATAGCCTGGGCGTGTTGATAAAAAAGTAGATATTTCTTTGCTGAAACTCAAGAGATAGGATTGTGAATACCTGGTTGAGTATCATTGTCATACACAAACCATATCACCTTGCTTGTAGAGCCACACAATGGAGCTGCTAGCCGTGAGTGGTGCTCCAAAGGGGCGCCGACAAACCACTAGCCACTCATCGGAATTATTAATAAAACGTATTTAGAGATTATAATATGTAATGCGAAGTGTAACCATTTATTATGGGTTACACGTTATGCATAAAGTTAGAAATGAATCAAGTAGATTAGAAAGGGACATCGTAGAAGAATTATTACTGGACTTTATGCAGGGTGGGTTTGGGTGTGGGGTGTGAGTATGGGCGTGGGTGTAGGTATTATATGCTTGCGCACCCACACTCACACCCTCACACCCACACCCTAGCCATACCCACACCCCTATAGATACTTGAGATGGAACCTATTTAAATAAATATAACAAAAGAAAAAAGATAATATTAATTAAATGATTAAAATAATTTTAATTACTTACCAAATGTGGTAAATAATTGGCAAGTGGTGAACGAAATCGAGCATTTATATAATTTTGATTACCTTTTTGTTTCTTGTTTAATTATTTCAACAGTATTTTCCTGTACATTTCCAGCTGGTACAAGTTCTAAACACTCATCTCTTACACCAATTTTTTCACGTAGATAGGTAAAAATTTCTTGTAAATGAAATGGATTTCCCCAACCACCTACAAATGATGGAGTTAATATAAAACGTCGAAAGAGATTATCGAAATTCATCATTTCAATCGTACTCGAATCTTTAATATCATCTAGAGAATTGTTGATCTGATCTTCTTTTTCTTTAATCGAACAAAAAACAGGATAATACAATGCTTTAGTATTCTCAATAGTTTATAAACACACACACACATACAAAAAAAAACTCTTATATGTTCTTTTTATTTTCCTAAATCAATCTTGTTAGTTTACTATGAAAACAAAAAACAATATTTTTATTGCATAGCACCAGTAATGTTAAGTAACATTTGAGGACCATGTGGTAAATAGACGATATTTCTTGATTTTGATAATTGATTTGCAATACCTTCAGCGGCTTCAATTCGTCGAAGTTCGATCAAATCTAACATGAATATTAAAACAAAGTAAGACAGGATAATAAAAGATATTCGAAAATTTACCATCATCAGCTTCATCTAAAGCTTTGCCAATCAAATCAGCTGCACGAACATCATCTTCTGCTGCAATAACATTTGCTTGACGACTTTGTTCCATCTGTTTTTTTTTATCAAAAAAAACTAACCCATACAAATTTTATTCTTATTGATTAACTTTTTCGACTAAAAATCGTTGTTTTTCAACATCGTGATGTACAACTTGTTTGAATTCAACAGCACTTGTAAATTCAGGTTTAAAACTTAAATGTGTCTAATTTAAAGAAAAAAAAAACAATATAATCAACTCGAGACTCTTTTTTGTTGTATCTGACAGTTGAAATATCATCCAGTAATAAACCAAATTGAGCAGCACGTTCTATTAATAATTCACTAATACGTTAAGAAATAAGTGTACGTTGTGTAATCAATTCAATAGCATCAAATTGAGACTTAGTACAACAGATTTTAAAACTTCATTAATAATCGATGATAAAACACGTTCTTCATAATCTAAACCCAAATTTGCAAAAAATTTTTGGTAAAAGTTCAGCTCTTGGTCGCTAAAGAATACGTAATGTTATATTAATTGTTTGTAAATCTAAAATAAAAATAATAAAATGTAATTTATGCATATTTCATTTATACGAAGAAAAAATAACGGAAACTTCTCGTTTTAAGTTTTATAAAGCATCTTAAGATTGGTGAATGATGAGAGTGTAGAGATGTAAACCGATCAGTTGAGTCACCATCGATGGCCGCAAAATTTTTTAAGATACCTCAGGCATATACATTCATTGATGTTTTAATAGACATCGTATTTACCTTCTTTTTTTCGCGAGCTTACATTTTCCTCATGTTCACCTCTCTCCTGAAGTTGACTGTTTTCTTCTAGCTTTTATACCTTTTATGTCTGTTATTGATGGAACAGATCGTGGTCGTGTACGAATATCAAATATAATTGGTCTATGAAGCCATGAAATCATAAAATGAGTTCCTTCTTCAATAACATCTAGTTTAACACCTTGAAAATGATCAAAAATAACATCTCGATGACCATCATCAACTAGAATATATTTAAATTTAAAGAAAACAAGTTTTTTTTAATCTTTTCATATTTACCATTATAAAGCATACAACTAATCACACCACCAACAATAGCTAAACCAATACCAATTCTTCTATCGAAATAAAATATTATTAAATAAACGAGATGAAGCCATTGTCTTTTTTTTCTTCTAAAAGAAAAACATGCATAATTATAATCAAATTAAATTTGTTTAGTTGTTTTGTTTTTATTAGCAAATAGTTTCAAAAAACAAAACGAAACCATATGAAAATTCTTCATATCTCTATCGATAGAACAAGAAAATGCATCACTATTTAATCTATCTATCTACTACAATAACAAACCAATGTAATAAAATACATAGAAAATGATTAAATAAC